CAAACCACATGCCTTTTCCATGGATGTATAGGGGTTAATATAAAAAATTGCTCTTTGCTCATAACTTAGTTGTTCTGCAATGCTCATTAAAAAAAGTTATGAGAGTGAAATAGCAATTCACCATATCCAGCCTCTACAGTTTGAACTGTAACCAGCTATACCAATAGTCAAAGTTATTAATGTGATAAATGAGGTTGCTTGTTCATTTAGCCAATCGAAGTCCAACGAACAAGTTTCTCAATGGTTACTCTCAATTTCTGCACTGATCTCAACATGCACTGGTCACAGGTGGTTTACAGAGGCATTGATCAGAACCACACCTAGGGTTGCACTGCCCTGGGGTAATGCAGGAGGCGGGGCTCCGAATGCAATGCAGTGAGTGGAAGGGATGGGCATGGGATATAAAAATAACCTCCTTTCGGTTCCCTTGCTCTCTCTCTGTCTTTCCCAACTCTTCACCTCTCCCCCCAATGCTTTCTCCTTGCTCTCCCGCAGGTCAGGTTTATCCCTGGGGAAACAAGTTCCAGCCAAACCGCACCAACCTGTGGCAGGTAAGACATGCATTCCTCACTCCTGTCCTTTCTCGGAGCATTGAGGCCTGCTGTCAGCTAGGCACTGTGTTAGGTGTGGGATTCAGAGGGCTGTGTCCTAAAGCTGGGAAGGGGGTGAAGCCGAAGACAAGGCGGTGGTGCAGTGTGCGCAGGAGGAAATCATTCATTGCCCGAGAGTACAGAGATGACATTTGAGCTGATCAAATAGGATTTTGCTAAGTGAAAAGAGGAGGAAAGGGTGTTGTCAAGCACAACAGCATGCGTGTTGGCATTGTATTAGGAAAGGGTACTGTGTGTTTGGAAACGTGCCAAATTCAGAGAGGCTGGAGCATAGGGAAATGGTGGGGGTCCAGGGGGTGTTAGGAGATGAAGTAGACAGTGGGTTGGAGGCAGATTTTGGAGCAGATGCGCCAAGATAGGGTTTTAGATTTTACCCTCTAGGCAGTGGGGAGCCAATGGAGGTTGTTATACAGGGGAGTAACAATATCAGATGTTGACTTGGGGAAGTTAACTCTTGCTAATTATGCAGGACTAGATGAAGCAGAGCTGCAGAGGTGGCAAGAGGTGTCTAGGTGATTATAAACACTTGAATTAAGTGGAAGTGGAATAGAGAGGAAGCCCAATGGGAGAGGCATGTCTGAGAAGATGGACAGGGTTTGGTAATTAATCGAATGTGGTGGGGTGGAAGAGAGTTGGACTCAAGCATGAGGACTCAAGCATGAATCAGAGTGATGGTGCCACCATTATCCAAATAGATAATATGCTTGTTGGGTCAGAGGGACAGAACTTGGTCAGGGTAGGATCAGCTTAGCTTAGGATGCCTTTGGGTCTTTTATATGTTCAGTCAAGAGGTTGAAAATATGAGTCTGAAACTTAGGACAGAAGTCTGGGTCAGAGCAAGTAGCTTGCGAGTCATAAGCATGTACCTTAGGAAAGAATGATCCCGCCCTCCCACACTGGCCAGGAGACGCTGTAGAGTGAGCGGAGCACAGCCTCAGTATTTTAGGGGGAAGCATTGACAGGGGCCTGAGAGGGAGACTGGACCTTTCAGATGATCTTGGGATCAGAGCTTTGCAGAAAGAGAAATCTGACATACACTGATCTTTGATAAATTAACCATTTTGAGCCTCAGTTGCTAGTTTCTTAAAGGGAGAGGATACTTGCCTCACAACCTTGCAAGGATTAAATTAAAAGACATAAGTGTAGCAGCCCTAGCACATAGTAGGTGTTGAGTAAATTATAGCCCCTTCATCTTCCCTTTCATAAGAGCAATTTCCATAGAGTTGTGGCAGCTGAACCCAATTTTAATAAGAGGCGTGAACAAGTTAAATAAATTGCATTGGCAAATATAGGTTACTTTTTGAAGAGTTTTGGTGGTAAAGAGCGAGAGATGAGAAAGGTAGAGTCAGGGCAGATGAGGCAGAGTTAACCCTGTTGGTAGAAGAGAAAGAGGTGGTTCCTGAGAAGGTGGAGGGTGCAGGGCATGGAGAAGGAGAGGAAGAGCCTTTCTTCCCAAGGCTCCGAGCATGGGGTTCAAGGCCGAGGGGACGAAGTCTCTGAGGATGGAGACAGTGGGAGTGGGATGGGCTTGACACGGACCACAGCGAGCACAGGGAAACCACACACTTCCTGATCCAGCTGGAGGTCCTGGTGGAGGACCTGAGTCAGCTGGTTGGGGGCTCAGGTTGGGAACCTCGGGTCACTGCCACATGCCCTTCCCCCTATTCCAGATGACCTTGGTTTCCCTGTGGGCAGGCAGGAACACCTGCCATGGGACAGGATGGCAAATCTTTTATCCTAAATCTCTTCTCAGGGAAAGTTCCCCAAGGGTGACAAGGCTGAGGACGGCTTCCATGGGGTCTCCCCAGTGAACGCGTTCCCCCCACAGAATAACTATGGTAAGATTTCTTATCGGTCGCCATCAACACTCACACGTAGCTGGTGGGAGCATTCTGCCTGATGGATGAGGCAGAGAGAAGCACCTGGGGCAGCATTTGCTCCCAGGGCTTTGATGGCTCACAGGCATGCGTGGTGCTTCCCAACGGGGAACTGACCCCCTGCTGTGCTGCAGGGCTCTATGACCTCGTGGGCAACGTGTGGGAGTGGACAGCTTCACCATACCAGGGTGCAAACCAGGATATGCGTGTCCTCCGGGGGGCATCCTGGATCGACACATCTGATGGCTCTGCCAATCACCGGGCCCGGGTCACCACCAGGTGAGGAGCTTGGTAGCTGAGGGCTGAGGGGCTGGAGGTGACCTCCCAGAGCACAGGTGGCACCACAACTGCTGTTGGCACTCCTTCTGCATCTCTACTTGCACCAGGAGATGTGGGTACTGAAAAGGAAGCAGGTAGCGCTTGCCAGGAAAAAGAAAACAGTCCAGGACAGCTTGTGCCTTTTCTTCTCAGCTCTCACACCCAGGGAGACTCTGTGTCCAGCATCTCAGTTACATGGGCTTCTCTTCTTGTCCTCATAAGTAGGTGTGCAGAGGTAGGGAAGTAGAATGGCCACATCAATAGGTCATGGCCAAGGGTCATGGAAATAGTGACTCTTCAAACAGGCGAGCACATGGGAAATCATTTCTACAACCATTTTGATTTACAGTCAAGTTAAAAATGGGCCCAGGAGGGTCCTGGGACCTGCTCATTTCAGACAGGTGGTTAGTGGTGGCACCTGGATGGAAGCGTCCTAGGCTGCTGGTCCCCTGCTAGGACTTGCTGCTTCGTTTGCCTGTAGATTTATTTTGGTTGATCTCCCTGCAACTCCTCCTACTCTTTGGCTCCATAAGGACTGTAGAGGCCACTCAGGATATCAGATTTGCAGGTGTTTCTTTGACCCACAAAGGCCCCTGAATTCTCTCTCTTTTAGGACAAAGTGGTAAAAAAAGTACTGGCCTAGAACCAGGAAACTGGGTTTGACATTGATTCTGTTGTGCTGTTGGAGCAGTAGTTGGCCTTGGGCCAGACATTTAACTCTTTCTAGTATCTGCTCCTGGGTCTCTAAAATGGTGAACACATCTTGCCTTCCATAGCAGTGGGGAAATGGCAAGCGAGGGAATTCACTTGAAACTTCTTTGAAAAGTAGGAGAACTGACTGGCGCTGTGATACTCTCACTAACTGCCAACAGGTTTTTCCCGGCTGAGTTATTCCTAACCACCAGCAGTCACAGGCACTAGTCATGGCCTCTCCTGCCTTCCAACTCAGTCTCTCAGGACCACTGTCACTTCCTCCACCCAGCCCCAAGGCCGCTTCATGTCCCCAGGACTGCCCTCTGACCAGGCTTCTTTCCAGACCACGCCCTCCACAGTCCTTGGGCCCCCCAGGTCGCAGCAGGCCCTGGGAGGTGGAACAGGAAAGCTGGGTAAGGCCCAAGGCCCCTTCCTCAACATGTTCATTCTCTCTCCCCTTCTCTGGTGGCAGGATGGGCAACACTCCAGATTCAGCGTCTGACAACCTAGGCTTCCGCTGTGCTTCCAATATAGGCCGACTGCCCGGGGAGCTGTGAGCAGCCACGCACAGCCACGAAGCACCCCGTGGAACCCATGCCGCTCACTGGCCACATTTCAAACAGCCAAGCTCTCCAACTTCCACCTTCTCCTCCTCCACCCCTTTTGACGGGCACCTCTCACCTGGTGGCAGGTGGGTGGGAGAGGCCTCTCGCCTCAGAGGAGGCCATGTCTCTTGGTGAAGGGCCCCAACTCGCTGATTGTGGCCGGGAGCTGGGTGTTTTTATTAGAGGTCAAATATCAACTATACAGGGGCCAAGTACTCAAACAATTGGGGCAGCGTCCTCTTAAAGGCAGTGTGTTAAAATCCTTTTAAGTCTGTTCCCTCCCCCTTTCTCGGTGTCTGATTCAGGGACCTGACATTGTTTCTTAGGGCAGAATTTCCCCAGTTCTCTGTTTTCCCAGCAAATTGCTGTGGAAAGGAGATGCTGCCTTCAGTTGTATAGTGTTTCTGTGTGCCTCTGAAGGCACTTGATGTCCACTCTCTGTATGTGAAATGGAGAAATGTGGGCTCTTTAAAGCGCAATTCAGTCTTCAAAGGGTCTAGGACAGTGGTTCTCAACCTTCCTAATGCCGCGACCCTTTAATACAGTTCCTGATGTTGTGGTGACCCCCAACCATAAAATTATTTTCGTTGCTACTTCATAACTGTAATTTTGCTACTGTTATGAATCATAATGTAAATATCTGATATGCAGGATGTATTTTCATTGTTACAAATTGAACACAATTAAAGCATAGTGATTAATCACAAAAACAATATGTAATTATATATGTGTTTTCCAGTGGTGTTAGGCGACCCCTGTGAAAGGGTCATTCGACCCCAAAGGGGTCGCGACCCACAGGTTGAGAACCGCTGATCTAGGAGAACAGGGTATTAACCAGGCCAAACTGTGCCTCCTGCGAGTCACAAAGTAAATGATACTCCAGAAAGACAAACATGAGAAGTGTCCCTTTCTGTTGTTAATTATGCAAGGGCTTCCTTATGCCTCTGGAAACCTGTCCCCTGGAGAAGGACCTGCTCCCATGGTGTCACTGGACATTGTGAGGTCAGTAAAATCCCCCGTGATTGTATATCTCAGACAGCTGTCTGTTTTCTCCTCACCCTGGGACCCTAAGGGAAGTGCATCCGAGGGTCAGTAACTCTGGGCCTCCCCTGAGCAGACACTGAGATGGTGGTACCACTGGGAGGTGGAGAAGCCGGAAGGCTCCTGGCGGTCGGACCACATCCAGTGCCCTCCTCTGTGCCCAGGCCCCAACTGCATTGTGATGGGAGTGCCTTTCGCTTGTGCAGAGCCTCTGAGGGGAGAGTGGCCCAGGTCCAGCGGTCCTGGCCTGGACCAATGCCTTCTCTGCACAACCTCATTCCTTTGACGAGTGTTTCTGTGGCTTCCCCTCCCTGCCTACCCCTCCCCCGCATCCCTCCTGCCAGCACCTCAGTAGTCCTCCTCAATCGGGGAGAGCAGCACAGCCTTGGGTGTGTTCTCAAAGAGCGCAGCCCGGTTCTGCTCCTGGCCCTTCTTCACCCAGTGGCCATAGATTCGGAAAGCATAAGCATCGATGAGTCGGCGCAGAGGCCGGAGGGAATAGGGGTCACGCATGATGATCTCCCGGGTCACAGGCTTCACCCGGTGGTACTGGTAGTAGATCCGCACTGAAGCCAGCACTGTCAGAGCGATCACCTGCAGAGGGAGGGCCAGGACTGAGAGCCTGGAGCGCCCCCGCTGGGTCCTTCCCAGTGTTCCCCCAGTTCCTGCCCTACCAGTATTGGCAGGCATTTAGACTGTCAGAGGACATCTGTCTTCCCTGGAGCCAGAGTTCTGGGAACCATCACGGGTGGGTGGGAGGGGGAGGGCAGGTGCCCTGGAAACCCTAGCCTGTAAGTAGTGTGAATAGTGGTCCCTGGGGGGCTTGGGCTCCAGGGCCCTGGGTGGGAAGGGAGCTTCAATACCTTGAACTTGCCCCGGGGGCTGAAGTGCCGCACTTCCTCCACGTCATACTGCTGGAAGAAGGGATGCGCTAAGGCCTCTTCTGCCGTAAGGCGGCCCTGGGGGTTCACCACCAAGAAGCGGGAAACCTGAGAGAACGGGGTGGGTAGTGAAAACAGCAAGGCAGGCTCCCTGCCAGCGTTTCAGAAGCCGTGGGGTCTCCTAGCAGACCCCTCCATCCTGTGCCTGGCACACTCCCCTCCCCGCGCGGTGGACTGCCCCTTGCCTGAGCCCAGGAACCAGTGGGCCTGGCCCCTCACCAAGTCTTTCACGGTGTCCGAGTAATCATCCCACTCGGGTGAGCCAAACTGGTAGTTGCCGCTCATGATCATCCTCAGCATCAGCATCTGCTTCCGGTGCCAGAAGGGTGGGGAGCCAGCCAGTAGGGTGTACATGATGACCCCTGTGCTCCACCTGGCACCAGGTGGGTGGGAGGAAGGCAGAGGGACTGGCTGTAGCTCCAGCCAGTTCCTCCCCTCCCCAGCCAGGTGTTCCGGCCATGGTGGCATCCCTGTCCCTTCCCCCCAACACACTCACATGTCCACCTCCTTCCCGTAGCCCGGGTGGTCACTGTTCATGGAGCACTCAATGATCTCGGGGGCCAGGTAACTGGGGGTCCCACAGATCTCTGCAGGAACAGTTACCATCAGATAGGTCAGCAGGGGGCACTTGGAAGAAGAAGGTCCGAAGAAACAAGATAGAACAGAAATAGTGCTTGGACTGGGACTCGCCTAGCACTGGCCAACTTCAGGGCCAAGGGCAGGGGCCAGAGCTGGCTCATAGGGCCACCCACTTGGGGCCTGTTGGTTCCCTGGTCACATCCAACTATTCTGGCCTAGAACTCAGGCCGTGGGAACCTGGCTCAACTCAGTCCTGAGAAGAGGACCTGCCTGAAAAGGCACCTAACCCTGAAATGATAGGATTTTTATTCTGGGGGGATATAGAAGAGGGTCCCGGGCAATCTCTGTTCCTGGGAGAGTTGGTGAGAAAGCCAGGCCTCGTTACCGGACCTCGTAGCTTCTCTCCTGGCTTCAGCTGGCAGGAAAAGCCAAAGTCGGTGAGCTTGATGTTCATGTCATCGTCCAAGAGGATGTTCTCGGGCTTCAGGTCCCGATGGACGATGTCGAGTTTGTGCAAGGTGCAGATCACTTCCAGCAGGGCTCTCATAATCTTCCTGGGGTGGGACAGGAGCGTGTCACTCTGCTCTCCTCTGCAGGGTCAGGTGGCGGGGAGGGAGACCAAAGCCCACATACCAGGCCGACTGCACAGGAGAGAGGGCAGCTGGGACGGTCGGGCTGAGCCAAAGAGGGAGGTCACAACCCAGCGGTGCACACCCTCCGAGACCTGGGTGTCTGTCGCACTGGGGCTTGGGCAGGGAGTGGGGAGAGGGGCAAGTGGACCCTCACCTGGTTTCCTTCTCACTCAGGGTGACCTTCTCAGTGAGGTAATCAAAGAGCTCCCCTTTCTTCATCCTGTGGTGACAGAGGGTTTGTAGCTGGATTGATCCCAAGACCACCCCCTTCTTAGCCTGCTCCCAGAGAGCTCTTCCTCACCCTAATCCCTCCAGAGGCAAAGGACCAGGGTTTGCAGGGAGGAGCTGGGAAGTGAGTGGAGAGGTTGTCTGGGAAGATTGGAAGAAGAGCAAGGGAGGCTGGAGGGGTGGTATGGCATCAGTGTGAGAGTCTCTCCCATCTGTGGGAGTGACAGCATGGACAGATCTATCAGGGCCAAAATCAAGGGCTGGGAGATGAAAAACTGGCCGAAGGCCCTCCTGGCCCAAGGGCCCAGACCCCGATCAGAAGGACAAGAGTATCCTGATATTTTTCAGGCACAAATGGAATGAGTGTTGAGTGTTGGAGGAGCAGTTGTGCCTGTTAGGATTAAGAATTGCAGTTCAATCTTCTCACTTCTTGGGATGCTCTATAAAGAGGTGTCCGTTAGAAAAATCTAGTTATAACCTGGAGGGCAACTTGGGGCAGCATTAAAAATAGATTCCCCAAGTAACTTCTTCAAAGGTTAGGGACATCTGAGCTGCCCCCAAGGACAGGGCCACTGAGCGGAGCTGGGACAGCTGCGGCTGGTCCAGTCTGGAGGGTCTTGGGAAAGTCTCCCTGTGTTAAATAGGAAAGGTGCATCCTGCCCCCTCTCACCCGCTCCTCCAGGGAAAGCAGTTGGATTCCTAGGGCACAAGGGATGTTGCTGGAGTCCCAGAGAGGCAAGAAAACCATTGAGCTTAGCTGCTAGGGCAGGGAGAGGGGTTCCATTTGAAGAAACAACCTAGAATTCACAGATATAAGCCTTGCTTTATACACTATCTGTACTGTGTTCCTAAAAAGCAACATGTGAGTCCCATTTTTGTCGTTTTAATTCCAACTTAAAGACACTAGGTGAACTCACTATTAGCAATAGCAGCAGCAGCAGCAGGTTTACCTGTAAGTACTGGGGACTGTGCAAGGTACATGAGCAGGCTCTGCCTTCTGGAGCCGGCCGTTTAATTGTACACACAGGCCAAGTTACGTGTTTCTCCAAGCAAAACCACAGTAGGGCCACAATAGGAAACGTTCCAACAATACAAAGTTTACCTGAATAATTTTCTCAAGAAACCCAGTCCCTAAATTAGCTGTTATATAGGGAGAAATCAAGACACCCCTTTAACAGTGAGCCATGCAGAGAGATTTCTGTTCTTCAACAAGGACTCAGTGGAGTGGGGAAGCAACGAGCCAGCGAGTTCTTTTTGCTGGGAACCTTTTCTAACAAAAAGGGCAATAATGCCCTGGCCAGTGTGGTTCAGTGGATAGAGCATCAGCCCAAGGGTCTCAGGCTTGATTCCCAGTCAAGGGCACGTCTCTGAATTGTGGGTTCACTGCCTGGCCCAGTCAGGTGCATGTGGGAGGCAGCCAGTCGTGTCTCTCTCACATTCCACCCCGCTCTCTCTCCCTCTTCTCCAATCCCTCCCTCCCTTCCAATCTCTCTAAAAATCACTGGCAAAAAGTATCCTTGGATGAGGATTAACAAGATAAAGAAAGAAAGCCTCCAGCCCTTAAGTGGTGGACCCAGGATTCAAAGCCGGGCAGCCTGACCCCAGGGGCTGACCTGCCTAAAGCACTTGTGATCCTACTTGGCATCTACAGTGTAGCGGGCTGGCTGCTGGATGGGAGACCACAATAGGAAGTTCTCCGATTGAGCCTCGGGGTATGGCTGGTTCCAGGGCTGGGTGCTTACAGGTCAAACACCAAGAAGAAGAAAGTGTTGGTCTCATAATTGTCCTTCAGCTGTACTGAAATGGAAATGGCTGGCTTGCCTCAGGGAGCAGAGGAGCCTGGGCAGAGGCAGTGGGGTCTAGGGGCAGGGGGAGGAAAGCTGCTGGGGCCGACTGCACAAATGAAGGGGGTATCTGGATGCTACTCCAAGGAGGCCCCCCAGGGGAGGGGGCAGGCCCAGTGACTTCACACCCCACTCCCCCGCCCTCACCCAGTCCCAGACCTGCCGGTGACCCCTTCTGTCTGGCTGGGAGAGGAGGCTTCGAGCTGAATCCCCGGAGCAGTCTTCCTGGAGATTGGAGCTGGGAACCTCAAGCCTCAGGGACTGGGCCGGTGGGCCTCAGGGTGCAGGAGACACCCTGGACAATTCTGGCTAGCTGCCTGCTGGGCTGCACTCCCTGACTTGGGTTCTCAGGGCAGAAGCAAGGTGGAGCACCCCGCTGTGGCTGGGAGCCAGCACTCACCGATGTTGGGGTACCCTGACACCTTGCGCAGGATGTCCACCTCCTTCAGCGTGGCCTCTCGCAGCTCCCGCACCTCCTTGGGGCTGAAGCTGCCCCCGCCGGTGACGTCAATGATCTTCACAGCATACTCCTTGCGCGTGGGCTTGTGGATACAGCGCCTGACGACACTGCTAACTCCCCTGGGGGTGCAGAGGACAGGTGGTCTCAGCGGGTGCCCCAAGTCCAGGCCACAGCAAAGATGTCCTGCCTTGTCCCCCAACTCCCTGTGAGCTTTTGGGAGAAGTAGGATGCTGATGAGTCACAAGCCTGGTCTCAGGCCTCTTAACTCCCAGTTCAGTGTTCGTTCACACATAGAAAGAGGCCGTACACTCTCAAGGCCGTAGCTTCCTTTGACCCCTGATCTCTAACCCTGGCCCAAAGCTGGGTTTGGATGTGCTTGTCACCAGTGTCAGTCAGGGTTGCGGGAAGCTCTTTGCCAGGAGAGGTCACTGATCTGGGTACTCACACCCTACCTTCCTGGTCAGGAGGGGAGGACCCAAACTGAGGGATGGAAATGGCCTGGGTGCCCAGGGTCCAGCAGAGATTGGCCCAGAGGTTGGCAGAACCGGCTGGAGCCTAGGACAGCGTTTCCTGGGGAAGGTCTGGGCCTTACCTGCCCAGGATCTCCTTGGGCTCATAGTTCTCATAGAAACCCTCTGTGGAATGGGAGTCCAGCTGCGCCTCGTCCCGCGTCATGTTCAGCTCCTTGGGGTGGTTCTGAAGGGCTCTGAGAGGGAACAGAAAGATGCTGTCAGCGCTCCCGGCCTGGGGGATGTGCTCTTTGAGGGTGGGAACCGGTTTTCACCCATTTTTGTCTCGCCTGGCACAGGGCTGGACTATTGTGAATGTTCAAAATGAATGTTTGAGAGTTGAAAAAATGCTTTGAAAAGAGTCGAGCATCGTTCTTCCCACTGGCTGTAAACCCTTGTGAGTCCAGGTGACCATGTTTCCCTGCATGTTCTCACTGTAAGCTGCTCCCCCTGGGGGAGGGGACAGTCAGCCAGGCCCTGGCCTGTGGGGACATCGGGACCCAAGGTTAGCTCTGAGGAGGCTGGCACAGCCTTGATTTTAGAAAGAACCACTGAGGCCCTGGCTGGTTAGCTCATTTGGCTAGAGCAGTGGTTCCCAAAGTGGGCCACATGCCTCCCAGGGGGGGCAATTTGATTTTTAAGGGGGGCAATTCAAGAATGAGTTATTAATAGTGACTTCTTTGCATTTCTTATGGTTCTAGGGGCCTCATATACAGTCTATAAATATATATTGTGACCTATTTATGCATTTCAGTTCTCTATTATATGTTTTGAAACTTTATTTGCTATTTTTTCATATCACTTCATATTATTATTTTTTAACAATTTCTTAGTGGTTTCCTACGTACTTCAACTGTCCTTTCATTCTTTCATTTTTCTCTTTCATGGATGCCATGTTCTTTGGAAACTTGTTTAGGCCAAGTTAATGGCCTTTTAGGCTTCCTCCACGTGAATAGGAGTTCACTTTTTGAATAATAAGAATTATATGTCACGGGGGTGGGGCGGGGGCATCAGGATTTTAGAGATGCTTAGGTAGGGCATGGCCAAAAAAAGGTTGGGAACCACTGGGTTAGAGTATCATCCCAATATGCCAAGGTCGTGGGTTCAATCCCTGGTCAGGGCACATACAAGAATCAACCAATGAATGCATAAATACGTGGAACAACAAATCTATGTCTTTCTCCCTCCCTCCCTCTCTCTCTAAAATTAATCAATAAAAATACATTTAGACAGAACCACAGAGAACCTCTCCAGGGGGCAAAGTAAAGTGGCTTCCTTTCCTCTTTGAGGACACGAGGCTGGTCCTGCTTAGTTCTGCCTGCTCTCTGCACTTGTGGAAAAGGTAGAAGCCGCACAATTTCATCTTCTTTATATGCTGCTCTTACAGCCTCTCCTTATCTACCCCAGTCCTGTCTGACCCTGAAAACGCCCCTTCTTTCAGAACATGCTCCTTCCTCATTTTGTCCTTACCCTGGACTTTCATAACCATCTTTCATGCCTTCATCCTTTTATATTCTTTGAAAAGCACTGTGCCAGATGCCCTGAGGGATGCAGAGCTTGATGGGAGAATTCTGGCCCCAGCCTCCGCTATCACTTGTCAGTGTGTGCTGTCATGTCCCCCATTAAGCTGTGATCTTGTCTAGGATGTCCCAGCCCCAGCCATCCTGCCCCTCTGTATGTATCCAGTGCAGGCACGTAGCAGAAGCTGCTCCCGGAAGGTGAGTTGATGGTGGAGGTATTCTTTTGGCGCAGGGTCTGTCAGCAGAATGGCCCATGTCCTACTAGCGATGGCCCGTGAGCCCTGAGTGGTCCTGCCACAGTGTGGGGCAGTACAGAGCCAGGACATTCAGGCCTGGACAGCGGAGCTAAGCTCCGGGTACTGACCTTGGATGAAGGGTTTGAGGAATGGAGAAAGTCATCCACCAACAGGAAGAACAGCAGACAGAAAATGGGCACAAGCTGCCACTGAGCAGGGCCCAAACTCTTCTAGTCCCATATCTACTGCCTTTTCTGGGCCCAACAAGGCCTGGCTTGTCACAGGGGCTGATTTGCTGACCAGCCAAGCTGCAGCCCTGGCCGTTCCAGGAAGCCTGGTGTCCCCACTGCTGGGTGCCTGGTTGTCAGAAGCCTCCTGCCAGCAGCAGGCTGCTTCTGTCCTGTCAGCAACCCCAACTGAGCACAGGAGAGTCTGTTCCCTGTAACATCAAGTTCATTTCCTGGCAAGTCCTTATAAGTTCTCAACACTGCGTACTACCAGCTCTTTCCCTTCCCCCAGCCCTCCCCGGGCAGAGAATACATCTGGACCCACCCAGGATGCCATCCGGCTGGGGATGCATTCCACGGCATGGCCAGGTCCAGCTGGTTCTGACGGCATTCATCTCTCTTGGCGTGGGCTGGGGAGGTTTCTCTTGTTCCCTCCTTTGGCTCCAGGCCTAACTTGGGGCTGTTTTTATGCGTCTGTTCACTGCCTCCACCTGCACCCCCACACTCTTCCCAAAACCCTTTTGAAAAGGGTCACCAAATAGGTTTAATCCTTTCTGGAACATACTGTCCTTTCCAAAACTCAGTCTGAATCAGTCACAGGGACCCACTTTCTAAACTCTGGAGGGGCTTCCAGGGTCAATGCCGCCTCTCTTCTGGTCCACCTGCCTTCAGAGGGGAAGTGGGTCTAATGGACTTCGGGGTTTCTACTTCTCTAACCCACAGCCTCCCCCTAACCCTGTCTGCCGCCTGGCTTTTGTCCATCACTGGCCCAGCTACTCACCGTTAGGTCCTTGCAGGCCCTTGAGTGGACTTGACAGGAATCTCAAAGGTCCCAGAGCCCCTTGGAGAGAGGGGACAACAGAGGACTGCAGTGTGTCCTGAGCCGACAGTTGTGGCCGGAGCAGGATATTTTGCTGCTCTTCCTTCGTGCTTTGCTACTTGATTAGGGAAGGCTGAGGTGCCAAAAATAAATCACCAGAGCAAACCGGGATGCAGGCCAAGGCTCAGCAAGGGACAGCGCACAGGAGTCTCGCCAGCGGTGACCTCTGGTGGAGGGTGAGGGAAGTTCGGGTGACCTGGGAACAGGCGTGACAGCATGAGGCGACGATTTTCCTTCTGGAGCTACTTGGTCTCCAGGCCCAGAGGGTCTAAAGCCAACCTGCTTCTCTGGGAGCCGTTTCTGTGTTTGGTATGATCAGGAAACAGCACACTGGTGCACCCACACTAGTGCTGGGACCTGGACATCAGGATCTGCTCAGGGATGGTTTGTGTGGCAGCCCCACAAAATGCAGACCTTAAAGGTTAGGGAACATCCCCTTCAAGGAATTGACCTTGGATCTGCCTCCATTATCTCATCCTTAACCCATTTTGTTGTCAGCCTGCCGTTTCTACTGGGAAGAGTTTTTTTTTTATATATATTTTTTAATTGATTTCAGAGAGGGAGAGGGAGATAGAAACATCAATGATGAGGATTATTTATCGGCTGCCTCCTGCACGCCCCCTACTGGGGATGGAGCCTACAACCCAGACATATGCCCTGATCAGGAGGGATTGTGGGAGGGCTCCAGGGCGTGTCTGGCCCATCTCAGTCCCCAGCAGCCTTAGCATATCATTAGCATATAATTGAACCGTGACCTCTGGTTCATAGGTCAATGCTCAACCACTGAGCCACGTTGGCTGGGCAACTACGGGGAAGACTTCAGTGTGCCAGGAAAAGCATATGGGTTCTGTGTGCAACTCTGAGCTCTTTGGGTGTGTATGATTCTACCTTAATAGGCTGACAGAATTGGAAATAATGTATACAACATGGTGGCACACAGTAGACACTTATTGCTCTCCCTTATTCTAAAGCAACCTTTTTTCAAACCCTTAATTCTAATATACAAAACAAAGGGAGGGGTAATCTACATGTGCTTCACAGGAGCTGAGCCCATAAACATCCATTTGACTAGCATATTACAAAGCACTTCACTTGGACCCCAAAACTCTGGTATTAGCCTATTTTAGAGAATGTTTGACTTGTTCAGCGTAAAAATATAGGTGAGTAGGAGTGCCTAGATTAACCCCAGATGTGGGTCCAAGTGCTCTCTCCGTTCTATCATGCTGACCATCTCTTTTTCACTCTGGGGAAATACTTTGCTGAATTGCTACATGGAAAGGAGTTGAAGATGACTTCAGGGTTGAGTTTTATGCATAAAGGTCTTGTTTATTGAGATGCAGCTTCTGGCTCCAAGGATGGAAACACTTCAGTCTCATCCTTTTACTTACTGTCAATAAGCCTTTTTTTATTCTAAGCTATAGACTTGACTCATACTACTTTATACTTTGAATGCATGACAGAATCCCTTCTGACTTTAGGGAAAAAGACCAATGCACCCAGAGGATTATTCCCAGTGCCTTTCTCTGGGGAGCCATGGCTCCTACCAGGGAGAGGCCCGGCAGACTCTTGCATGTTATTGCTGTGAGTTATTTTCCTTTGATTCACTAACGATATTTGGGTACCCACTATAGACCATCACACCTTGGATATAAGGGGCAATTAACACTATGAGCCTCCAGGAAAACGGGCAAAGGAGTCCACTGACGAACCCAGGAGGGACTTGCCAGGAGTGAATTATCTGTGGTCATTCAGGTGCTCAGGGTAAGGCAGTCGTGGTCCCTTTCAGGAACTGAATGATTTGGTAGAAAAAGGCACTCGAAGAACACAGTTGAGGACAGGAGGCAGCAACTGGGTAATTCACTCATTCAACATCCACTCACCCTGTAATAAGATGCCTCTAAAACTTAAAAGGGGGAAACCAGATAACAGAACCTATGAAAGGCACATTTGAAAATTGAAAAAGTGTAAGAGCATAATGTAGACTTAGAGATCAACTCGAGAGTAAAATTTTTAGTTGAGGTTTGGAGCTTGGTTAACAAAAATGGTGCACCTCAAATTGAGTCCACCTCAAGACAATCGCAGCTCACCTGAGTCTTTCATGAAGCGGAAGCTACAAGGCCTAAAATTAGAAAAACATCTATAGGGGAACTGCGTGTATTAAGAGAATGGTTTTCATCTCCAATCAAACTAATTGGATATTCTAGGGGAACAGTGACAAATAGTGCTCACCTGGCCACAGGGAACCCACTTACCCTTCATCTGATTAGAACAATTAATATTTTAAAGTTTCTTATGACTGCTCAGTTTATTGAACACTGGCTCTGAAGGCTTATAGTACCTGGAACCTTTTTAATGGGCAACATGTTTGCTAGTGAACTACTCCTTACATAACTATTTCCCTACAAAAGTTTCTCAGGGAGCTTTACCAGGCCTTTTGGGTGGATGCTAATTTCATGTCCAGAGACTATAAACTAGATAAAATTAAAGACATGTTGAGACAATTATGTTCTTCTGCAAAATACATATGTTCAGGATGCATATACTATATCTAAAATTTATTACCTTAAATTTATCGGACACCATTTCAGAAGAAAATCACTTTATTGTAACTGATTCACAAACATCACAAAAGCTGGTTTAAGGAGGCCACACAAACATCTGCTCAGCCCCAAACTGAATTATCATCTTAATGAACTTCTACATAGTAAGTACACTCTCTTCCACTGCTATTCAGAGGCAAGGAAACTATTAATGATAGAGGAGAGTTAACTAGTAGTTTTATACTTTCACTATCAATTATATATTTTTATACTAAGTTAACTTGGACATGAGAGATGATTTCCCATTTCTTCAATGCGACCTTCTTGATTAGGCTAATCCTGCAAATAAAAAAGGTACATTTAGAAGAGCACTGGCTGTATAGTCTTAACAAAACTGAAGCCCTCCCAATTATGAAAGGAGAGGAAAAAACCCCCCAGAATTTATTTAATAAGTTACTGAGGGCATCCTATAACCAACAAAACATTTGCATTTGTCACAACTGAGAAAAGACAGGGCACATGTGCTTCTGGGGACAGAGACCTGAGGCAGAACTATAGCCAGTTTGATACTAGATGTAGCTTCATCAAAGAATTCTGATGAACTTGGACATGCAATCTCTTACTTCCACAGTTCAACCACCTGAAAGGATTAACTTCTCCCTTATGTCCTACCCAAAATGAAGGGGGGAAATGAAAACAAACATTTTAATAGATGGTGTATTCTTAGGTGGATGGAAGGAAATTATGTGAAAACCAGTTGACATTCCGGAAAGCCTAAATCGCAGAATTCCGGTGAGGGGCTTAATAAACTTGTCTAATACAGCATGCAGAATTCCAATAATATCAGTCTTTATGTGCATCCCTGAACTTTTAATTTTGTATTCATAACCTTAAGTCTAGATCAATCGCATGCAGTTATCCTCAATAAGATCTGACACACTAATCTATGCCTATTTAAGGAAGAATCAGATTCAGAACATAACTGGTAAAGGATTAAGATAATGATTAGAAACCTCTGCACCAGTTCGTTAGAAGTTAGCTTATCTTTAGAGTAATTTTAACAAAATCTCCTCTAATTTGTCAGTTTAATTTATTAAACACATATTCCCTAAGTTCTATAGGATCTAGGAGCACAAACATTAAACAAATCGAGCCTATGCAAGTTCAATCATGAATTGATATATCACCTACCATTTGCAAATTTGCACTGTTTCAGCACCTCACTGAAACCCTCACAAAGCTTAAGGTCACCCTGGTTCTGGGCACAGTCCAAAAACTGTTTCATCTCATAGTGGCATGGGCCAAACTGCTGCTGCTGCTGCTGGTATGCCTGCGTTCCCTGGGGCTCCTGCAAAGGCATAACATTCAGGAACGTTTAGAAAGGAAATCAGACTTACCCCTGAACAAAGAGCAGTATCCACTGTCTTTGAGGTTAACTGGGAAACAGAACTAAATCCAGCTGCAAATTAAAGTTTTCAGCTAATAACATGGAAAGTGAGATATTTTCAAGGCAGAAAATGAGTTTTAGCAAAATTCCAGTTGTAATCAGCTAGATTCAAGAACAAAGATGCAAGTAAAATGAAATGGTTACCTGGAATTTAAAGACCAGTGAAGTTTCATGGAGGAAAAAATGGGACTACTATAGAAAAATAGGTGGATGAGAGTTTCAAGTATACCAGAATCACAACAGAGTACACACCCACGTTCACTAGAGGAGAAAATTCACAAATCCCAGAAAGAGGGGCAAGTGGCAAATGTCAGGTAAGAGATCAGAGAGCAAAGAGCTTCTAAAGAGATTTTTTTGAAAACTAAGATTGAGCCCTTAGTCGATAGAGTGTTGGCCTGTGGACTGAAGGGTCCTGGGTTAGATTCCGGTCAAGGGCATATGCCCGGGTTGGGGGCTCGATTCCCAGTAGGGGGGGTGCAAGAGGCAGCCAATCAATGATTTTCTCTCATCATTGATGTTTCCATCTCTCTCTCCCTCTCCCTTCCTCTCTGAAATCAATAAAAAAATATAAAAAAGAAAACTAAGATCAAGACTGAATTAGTTCAGGGTAACCAAGACAAAATATTTAAAATAAGAAAAAAAAATGGCTGTTTTACAGTGAATCAGGTTGAACTACTAGAGTTATACGTCTTGGGAAAAAAGAAAATTTGTATAGTACTTACTGATGCTGGCCTGAGGCACTAACTCAACTGCCAAGCATGGCTTTCGATAAAACATTTTCTGTTAAGAGCATTGTGGATTCTAAATTTACACACGGTTCTTACACACAAGGAACTTACAAGTAACTAGGTTTCCTCATCAAATATACCACTGAAGGGCAATGCCGCCCAAAGTCTTACCTGGTAAGTGATGTCAGGCCTTGAGGGCTCAGCATTACTTCCTCCACTGAAGCCCCCAGTGATGGCATGACCCAGCGTGTGGCCGACAGCAGAGCCCACAGCCACACCAGCTGCAGTGGTTGCCGGGGGTGCAAGCAGCCAATCAATGATTTTCTCTCATCATTGATGTTTCCATCTCTCTCTCCCTCTCCCTTCCTCTCTGAAATCAATAAAAAAATATAAAAAAGAAAACTAAGATCAAGACTGAATTAGTTCAGGGTAACCAAGACAAAATATTTAAAATAAGAAAAAAAAATGGCTGTTTTACAGTGAATCAGGTTGAACTACTAGAGTTATACGTCTTGGGAAAAAAGAAAATTTGTATAGTACTTACTGATGCTGGCCTGAGGCACTAACTCAACTGCCAAGCATGGCTTTCGATAAAACATTTTCTGTTAAGAGCATTGTGGATTCTAAATTTACACACGGTTCTTACACACAAGGAACTTACAAGTAACTAGGTTTCCTCATCAAATATACCACTGAAGGGCAATGCCGCCCAAAGTCTTACCTGGTAAGTGATGTCAGGCCTTGAGGGCTCAGCATTACTTCCTCCACTGAAGCCCCCAGTGATGGCATGACCCAGCGTGTGGCCGACAGCAGAGCCCACAGCCACACCAGCTGCAGTGGTTGCCATTTGGGCCATCAGACCTGGCTGCCGGGGTGCAGCAGCAGGTGCGCCAACAGCAGATGGTGCAGCTGGTGCTGGTGGGTGAGCTGCTGGTGCTGGCCTGGGCGCAGCTCTCATCTGAGGTGCCCGGCTGTTAAAGTAAAGAACAGAAAGTATGCAGTTCCTACTTCCAACCAGGTTTGGAAACTGTCAAGGTAATACTACATACATACAAGAAAACTTTACAAAACACAATTCCCTAAAGTTCCCGTGGTCGGCAAACTGCGGCTCGCGAGCCACATGCGGCTCTTTGGCTCCTTGAGTGTGGCTCTTCCTAAGCCTTAGGAGTACCCTAATTGAGTTAATAACAATGTACCTACCTATATAGTTTAAGTTTAAAAAATTTGGCTCTCAAAAGAAATTTCAATCGTTGTACTGTTGATATTTGGCTCTGTTGACTGAGTTTGCCGACCACTGCCCTAAACTATTCTGTTCCATTTTCTCTCTTTAACCTTTTGTTTGGGTTGTAACCACCAAGTATAAACTATTTTTTCCTGCTTCTTTGCAACCATTTCCATGTATTCAATAGCCCACAGTATCTTTAAAGAACACAGTTTTTCCAATACTTCGTAAAAATTGTAAAATATTCTCACAGAATTCATCACAAGTGCTAAGGAAAAAATAGGGAGCGAGGGGGAGCATGTTGTGGGATGTCATAACTTAAGGACAGGCAAAGGAGAGCTCCCTGAGCTGGTAACATTTGAATGAAGACCTGCACTTAGTCATCTGGGGAAGTAATCTAGTCAAATTCCTTCATTTTACAGATTAGAACACTGAAGCCCAGTGTCGAAGTGACTTGCCTGAACTGTTACACCAAAATTAATCTCAACTATTTTCCATCTGTAGGACAGTTGGATGCTTTCAACTATTTCAGTAAAATCTTCATATAAATTATGCTCCCCCTTACCCGTTTTTAGATCCTTCCCCCAAATAAGGCCAGGTCAAAAGTTTATGATTTCACTTTATAAAAAGGTGGTTATTGCCCAGGCGGCATGGCTCAGCGGTTGAGCAATGACCTATGAACCAGGTCATAGTTCGATTCCCCATCAGGGCACATGCCTGGGTTGCCGCTCAGTCCCAGGAGGAGGCATGCAGGAGGCAGCTGATCAATGATTCTCTCTCATCATTGATGTTTCTCTCTCCCCCCTTCCTCTCTGAAACCAATAAAAAATATATTTTAAAAAATGTGGTTACCTGCCCTTTGAACAGAAGTTTCTTTTCACAAGCGAACCCCTTCTCACACTCCTAGCGCACTGTATGAACACAATCCAGTGAAGCAACAGGGACTGTGCTAAATGTCCTGAATTGGTCATTGGCTTCCCTACTTCCTGGAGGCATGACCTTAGACAAGTAATTTATTCTGAGTCTGCTGTTTCCTTATTCCTGTCAAGTAGGGGTAACACCGATCTCTAGGGTTACCATGAGGTGTAACTGGCAGTACATTTTACAAGTAGTATTTTAGAAACTAGAAAACGTCATGTACACGTGAGGGCCTTAGTGACTGTGTCCTCTAGTAGGCTGAGACCCCAAAAGGCTCACTGCTCATGGCAGGTGCTCACAGATTATTCACTGAATTGAAATTCGATCATTTCCCGATTGTTACCTTTCTTCTACACTTTTTTTTTTTGCTACTTTGACCGTTTCAGCTCGTTTCCACTTCTTTTTACAACTTGGCTACTTTAACTTAAAATGAGCTACGAAATATTTTAAGCAATAACTCATGGGCGTTCGAAATTAGAAAACTTGCCACTAATGGAAAAATTTAGCC